TTGTAAAATAAGTTGACAAAAATGTCAGTGATAGAGACTTGCTCTTCATAAACCAGGCTTATTCTGCAGCATGCCAATTCTAAAGGAACTGAACTTTCCTACACTGCTGAATTTTGCATTTGTACTCCACTACCCTGGCTTTTATGTGCTGAAAAAGTAGTGTGGAAAATCTGGTAGTGCAAGATACACCATGATTAGGATGCTGCCATCTTCTTCCATGCATAATTATGCTGCTTCCATTTTCCTATTATTTTCTGTTGATGGAGTATCATTCTCCACATGTTGAGAACATATAGACTATATTTTATTTCAGAGAAGATAAACACAAGAGAGAGATTGTCATTGCTAATGTAGAGCTATGAGTGACTTTTTTTCCTCAGCAAAATTCATGCTATTTTTAGTGCAGCCTGGGTAATTTCTTTCTTTTTTTTTTTTTTGTCTTAATCTTTTTTTCACAATAAAAAATTCCCTCTTCTGTGTTGGGATAAATGTGCTTTCTTCCCTTTCTTGTTCAGTCTACATTCATAGCCAGAATTATTACTTTAGGGAGACTTTGGTGTGTGTGTGGGGGGGATGGGTGCACGCGCATGTGTGTGCACATGTGCATGTCTGAAAAAAGAGGATGAAAAAATTCTAACCGAAGCATATGTTGTTATATCAAATTATTTTAACACTCTCAACAGTATAAGTCAACATTTTAAAAAGATTTCTTCTTTAATCTATACTATTAAGTTGTCTGACATTCCCTGATAGTGTCAGTGTCTTTGAACTTCCAGTAACACACAGAAGAATTCTTTTTATCTAATGTTTTTTGGCACTAGGCTTTAGTAACAGCTTTAGATGGTATTACTTAGTTATCAGTTTTCTCTCCTTTGCTTGTTATCAGAAGTTTTGTTTCATTTCCATAATAATACCATGAGATTGTTCAGATTTTTTTCCCCCAGAGGTGATTTTACTTCATTAAAATATATAGCAAAAATAGATTATCCTCTTAAGTTTTGTGCAAACTTTAGAAAAAATGCAAGCCAAATCTCAGCTAAACAAATGTTTTCATTTTCAGAAGTTACATAAAAATACACATAAATGAGGGAATTTTAATATCCTTGGACTTTCTCATGTACTTAAAACATTGCTTCTAAAGTCTCAGTCTTTTTGTCTCTTAAGATTCCTTTAAGGATTTACATTTTGTTTCTAAAATGTTGTAAACATAGAAAGAAGAAGCTTAGTGTGTTTGAAAGAAGGTCATTTTGTGTTTGTGGACAATAAACTACTGCTCTTGCAATTACACCCATCATTACCCCCGAATATTAATGCTCCCCAGCCCAAATATAGGTTTTCAAAGATAATATTGTGTTTCTCTTTGGCACATAGATTCTTAAATAAATTGCCTTTTCTTTAAATGAATTCTCAAATGCCCACAAATCGAGGAAAATCCATCTTATTTCACCCATTTAAAACAAACAAACGTAGTAGTTTTTTCCTTTTCTCTTTTGTTTCTCATTTCTTTTTTGTTTTCTTTGCATCGAGTCTCTTTGAGAAGTTTTTCTATTCACAGTCTCTGATTTCTCTCCTTTTATACTTTCTCAAACATTCCCACTAGCTTTTATCTCTGACACTCCACTAAAGGTGCTTTTGTGAAGGGCACCAGTGATCTCTGTGTAGTTAAGTCTAATGCCATCTCTCAGTCTGCAACATGGTTGACATGTCTGCAGCTTTGACACAATTGATCCTTCCCTTCTTGAGTAACTTTTTTTGGCTTACAGGAGTTTCTCTCCTCAGTTCCTTTTGCTAGCTCCTCCGCATTTCCCCAACCACTAAATAGTGGCGTGATCAACACTCCATCTTTGAACTTCTCTCTCTCTCTGTTTTCCTTTTACATTACATCTAGTCTCATTGCCTGAATTCCCTCCAGTAAACCAGCAATGCCTCAGTATATACATCTTGTCTGAAACTCCTTTGAATGCCAAACTTAATATTACCCATTGCCTAATCTAAATCTCAAACTTAATGTCTAAACTTGCCCCTCCTATAGTCTTTCTTCTTCATCTCAGTTAATGGACACTCCATCCTTCCAGCTGATGACGCCAAGAAATCTTGAAATCAAACTTTAACTCTCATATTTCACATTCACTTCAACAGTACATACTGTAGAAACTATCTTTTTAAGACACATTCAGTGCTCTTGATCTGACCAAGCTGCCATCATCCTTCAGCTAGATCACTGTACGAAAACCTTCCACATAGTCTTTCTTTTTTCCTTGCTCTCTTATTTTGCACAATGCCTCTGGTGAACTTGTAAAAATGTAAAACCATTTCACCCCTCCATTCAGAACTCTCTAACAGCCTCTTATTTTGACCTCAAAGTCTCTAGGATATGACTACCCTGGATGCTCTCCTATAATATCTTTTTTTTTTTAAAGATTTTATTTATTTATTTGAAAGAGAGAGAGAAAGAGAGACCATGAGAGAGGAGAAGGTCAGAGGGAGAAGCAGACTCCCCATGGAGCTGGGAGCCTGATGTGGGACTCGATCCTGGGACTCCAGGATCATGACCTGAGCCAAAGGCAGTCACTTAACCAACTGAGCCACCCAGGCACCCTCCTATAATATCTGTAACTCTCCTCCAGCCACACTGGCCTCCTGGATTTTCCTTGAAGTCTCCAGGTGTATTCCCGCCCCCGCCCCCCAAAGCCTCACACTCGTTTCTCCCTTTGTCTGGAATGTTCTCTTCCTAGATAGATACCCATAAAGCTCATTTTCTTACCTCCTTCAGGTCTTTACTTAAATATCACATTTTTGGTGACACCTTCCCTGGATCTCTTTTAAATTTGCACCTCCACATGTCCTCTGGCTCATCTCCCTGCTTCGTGTCCCTATTTCAGTCATTAGCATCTTTCACACTACATATTTCTTTAATTTAATTTGTTTGTTGTCAGTCTCTCCCCAAAACAAGAATGTAAGGTTGAGTTTTAACTCTTTTGTTCAGAACTGTATCAACAAAACTTAAAACAGAGTCTGAAATACGTTGGGTACACAGTAAATATTTGTAGAATACATTAACGAATATAACAAAACAGTGACCAGTGTAGCATGTTTTTAACTTTGGAGTGAATTATATTATTTTGGATAATAGATTTAATCTTCAAAAATATTTTGCATATGCTGATATCAAATTTAGGTTTATTACATTGTACTTCCATTACCCTACCTACACAAAATAGACCCTTTATAAATATTGGATGAGTAAAAATTTTGCATGCATATGAATACAAATGAAGAGATAGGCTAGGAGACATGAACAAAGTAAGAATAATCAGGCTAGGATTTAAAAATGTATTATGTAACTAATGCTGATTTAACTGAGTCAAATTAATAGGTGGGATAATGAATATAAAATGTGTAGGATCTTGTTCCTTAGGAAATAAAATGGAAGTGTTGTAGAGCTTTGTTTAGAGACATCTTGAGAAAATGAAGTAGTACCAAAATGACATACTGAGAATGATTTTCTTTGTAGTGTCATGCTGCCTTTATTGAGGCCATTTTCTAGGCAGGCTTACCTCTGAGTTTTGATATACATTTTAGTTTATCTATTTTTAGAAGAAACACATTTCTTTTTCGTGAGAGAAGTATGAACTAACGCCAAAAATATGTCCCTGTTAACGTTCCCTGAGCCAGGATTCTGCCGTCTCTAGCCAGTCTGTGTGTCATTCTGAATTCATGGTAAGAAGACCTGGCAAGGAGTCTGCAGACAGGAGTTGTAGTTTAAGTTCTGCTTATCTCACCCTTCCATCACCTACTACCCATATCCAATGTTCAACCATAACAGACTTTAATAACACATTTAAATATTGTGGAATAAGATCCCTGTGTATACAAAAAAGGTAATTAGTGTCTTAGTAGGAAGTATAATATGATTATTTGCCAGGGGTATCATTGAAAAGATTCTTAATTTGTATGAGAGGTTGGGTAAATATCCTCCAAGTTCTATTTTAAGTTTCTAGATTTGATCATTTTTAAAAGTTATCTATTTACATACTGCATTGTAGCATTTATGCAAGGAAATGGAATTTCATTCCTGGCCCTTATTTATAGTGTCTGTTTATTGGAAAACTGTAATTGAAAAAAAAATTTTTTTTTACTCCGTGAATTTTGCATGAATCAATAATAAAGTCTGGAAGCAATTGACAAATACTTTCTATAACAAAATGATAGCTCTCGAATATTTTTTATCATAAATGATATGTTGCAGAAATGTACTTAAGACAGAAAACTGGCTCCAGTTGAAGAGCAATATAATATATCAGTTGGCCAAGTCTGCCTCTTTCTAAGAGAAAAGGTGGCAGAATATGAATTGTTCTCTGGAAATGTAGATTAAAAACTAAGAAGTATTTTGATGTGCACATACATCAGCAGCCTCACTAATAAAAATGGACATCTGGCATTTGTGCTCCTTAAAAGAAAAATTAGCATACATGTAGTATTTTGGCCAGAGTATAATACACATAAAATGAAAGTTTATATAAATCAGTCTATGAACATCAAACAAATTTTGAATCAGCATGTGTTTAAATCTTGTGTAGATCCTGTATGAAATTAATAATAATTAACTTTGGGCATCAAGGCAACAATAGATCAAGAATTACTATGTTTGATTAAAAAGTATATTTGGGAACTTCTATTTTAGATCCAACATGTTCAGAGTGTAGGAGTCACTACTCCATCTTAACAAGTAAAAAGCTAAACAACAACAATAGCAGCAAAAACTGAAAAAAATCAATAATTCTTCTTAGATCCATCAGAAAAATGAGGTCATAAGGAAAACTGCTATCCTCCAAACTGGAGAGACCATCAGGTAGAGAATCGGACTTGCTGGAGTAGAAAACCTCAAGCAGGCACCTTTGTAGGAATTACTACTGGGGTAGAAAACTGTAATTGATGACTTGCTAAAGGCACTGTGTAGTGTGGACAAGACTGAAAGTTAAAAACTCCAGCAGAGGGATGTGGCTGGAGCTTGAGGCGCGCAGGGCCGGAGACGCCGCAGACCCGGGACCCGGAGCAGCTCGGAGGCGGTGAATAATAGCTCTTCAACTCTGCAATAAAAAATGGCCTCCAATAAAACTACATTGCAAAAAATGGGAAAGAAACAGAATGGAAAGAGTAAAAAAGTAGAAGAGGCAGAGCCTGAAGAATTTGTGGTGGAAAAAGTACTGGACCGACGTGTAGTGAATGGGAAGGTGGAGTATTTCCTGAAGTGGAAGGATCTTACAGATGCTGACAATACTTGGGAACCTGAAGAAAATCTAGATTGTCCAGAGTTAATTGAAGCGTTTCTTAACTCTCAAAAAGCTGGTAAAGAAAAAGATGGTACAAAAAGAAAATCTTTATCTGACAGTGAATCTGATGATAGCAAATCAAAGAAGAAGAGAGATGCTGCTGATAAACCAAGAGGCTTTGCCAGAGGTCTTGATCCTGAACCAATAATTGGTGCCACAGACAGCAGTGGAGAATTAATGTTTCTCATGAAATGGAAAGATTCAGATGAGGCAGACTTGGTGCTGGCAAAAGAGGCAAACATGAAGTGTCCTCAAATTGTAATTGCTTTTTATGAAGAGAGACTAACTTGGCATTCTTGTCCAGAAGATGAAGCTCAATAATTGTTTGCATTGCTTTTTATATATATTTATATATATACATAAAATCTGGGTCTGTGTTTTTTGATTAGTGTGAAGAAATAACATTCTAATGAAAATCAAGTTTGATATGTTTGTTTTGAAGTAGTGTTGGGGGAGTTGTTGGGGTTTTTGCATCTATAGCACTGGTTACTTTAAACAAATAAAAGCTTTCTGTAGTTGCTTCCTTTATCAGAAAAGAATATTTGAGACCATGATATATTATCCCCCTGCATTAGAGAACCTTTTCTAAATGTTGGGGGAAATCTTCATAGTCTTTACTCAGTCAGAATTTGTGTTTAACTCCTATATGCCTAAGGACCATTCTGGGTTTTTTGTTTATTTAGGGGGTTTTTTGTGTGTATACTTAAAATACATACATAAGTGGTTTTTGTTTTTAACATTCACCAAAACAAAAACAGCATTTTATAACCATGGTTAAGCCCATGTTTCCGGGATGCTACCCTTTTCAGCATTTTAAGAAATAAATCACTTAAACTGAAGTTTTTCCTGAGGCCTTAACCTTTCAAATTTTGTAATTAATTGGACAATTTAAATATAATGTAAACAATTTAAATTGGACAATTTAAAAGCAGCCATATCAGAATCCATATCCTTCTCTACAGCCATATAAACGCGAGTTTATTTGCAAGATCCCTGAAAGGAAAATTTTACCACCACCAACCTCCCCACCCAAATGACAAAACTAGACAAGTCCTTGTGTATTTTACTTAGGTAAGCAATACTTTAGTTAAATGGACATTTAAAGGTTCCCTCTAGTGAACCATTCCTTTTTAAGAAGTTGAAATTCTCTGTGCTGTATTGACTAAAAGGTCATGATTCGTGGACTGTCTACAGCTTCCTTCATGGAAACTAATTATAATCAGATGGTTAGAGATGTTGGCAGTTTAGCACCTGCTGGAGTAAATGGGTGGACAGGCTTCTACCATCCAAATTCTTCACCTGCATGTTTTTTCTTTACCCCAGTTCATTCCTGACATGGAGGCTCAGTCTTTTCAGTATTTGAGTTACTGGTTCAGCACAAACCAGGAAAAACAGTAACTTTGTAGTCAGAATGTTATCCAACTGCATATTGTTTACTTTATTGTAAATACTGGTAAACAGTGGTCAATAAATAGTTTTATATTAAAAAAAAAAAAAAACAAAAAAACTCCAGCAGAACTTCGTCACTGGGGAGCCTCCACACTTCTATGCATTTCACCTGTAGGACCTTCCTAGTAAGTACTGGAGAAAAATTCCCTCAGACTTCTGTCAGAGGAGAGGAGAAAGAACCATTTTGATGTTTGCCTGAGCAATCAGGTCTCTTTAATGAGGATAAGTTTTTCCTGATCTCGGGAGAAGCTATTTTACCGAAGACTAATATAATAAGACTTACCAGAGCCTAACCTATCTGGGGGAAGGAAAATATACCACTCCAGCACTCTCTAGCCCACTTGTCCCACATAACAAAAGAAAAAAGTTCTGAGAAGTACCCGATGAAATTTGCAGTTCAGCTGCACAGGCTTCCGAAAAGATGGACCTAATCACAGATAGAACACATCCTCTACCAGCAAACCTTAAATTACAACAGGCCTATTCACTACAAATTATTTTACCCAGTACAGAAAGCCCACCTTTTCACACACACACACAAATTATAAGATATACCAAAAGGCAAAAATTATAGTTTGAAGAGATAGAACAAACATCAGAACCTGAGTCTAATATGGCAGGAATGTGGAATTATTAGACCAGGGATTTTTCAAAAATATAATTAATATGCCATGGGTATTAGTGGAAAAAAGTAGACAACATGCAAGAACAGATGGATAATGTCAATAGGCAAATGGAAATCTCAAGAAATAATTTTTTTAAATTACGAGATTAAAAACACTGTAACAGAAATGAAGACTACCTTTGATGGACTTATTAGTAGACAAGACAGGGCAGAGGACTAAACCTCTAAGCTTAAGGATATCTCAAAAAAAATCTATAAAACTTAGAAGAAAGTGGAAAAAAGACTGAAAACTCAAAATATCCAAGAATTATGAAATGACTACAAAAGGTATATACCACATTATATTCTTTCAAGCCAGATTCTCTGATATAAAATTCAAGCAAGCACAGCCAAGGGACAGGGAGGAGTCTTTATAACTGATTCACTTAAAGAAAAACGCACAGATGTAATAACCATGAGGAATGGCTGCATGGGAAGAAGAGCCCCACCTCCAGTGGATGAAACACAGAACACATTTGTGACCCCAATCTTGTTCTGTCTTCATGCAAGTAATCCACAAATGCTGATCTTTTCTTTCTTCTTTCACTTTAGTTTTCTGAGGATTAGCTATTAGATACGATGTAATGCTCCACCAATATATTTGTCTGCCTTGTACACCAACGTTCTCTCATGTTGCTCAGGCCTCTTCTAGTCCTTTGTGTTCCTTGGGAACACTTAATTACCCCCACATAGATCCCTTCAACAGCAACAAGAAAGTCACAGAGAAGCTCTCAAGGAAGCTGATTATTTTCATTTTGCTCCATTGCCTTTGGGGGAAGCTGTCTCCACAAGATTCTCATTGATGTCAGAACAGTAGAGCTTAGCCTTGTCCTATATTTTGTGCCTGGGCTTATATCTGGCCAAGAATAGATGCCACCACTTTTCAAACAGCTTCAGCTTATAATTCTTTAAACACATTTTACTGAGTTTCCTAACCACCCCCCGGCCCAATCCTTAGGAAATTGTATCTACATGTTTGTGTTTCATGCTCAGATAACAAAGTATCTAATGAGCAGTATTAAAAGCTGTTTGATCCATTGAGCTTATTAGGAGTTTTAAAATATTTTGTTCTTGTTTTTTGAATTTTGACTTATATTTGCTTTAACTCAGTAAATCATTTCATCATGCATATTAGTGCATTCTTGATGTGACTAGAAAATGACTTTAGTAATATAGCTAATCACAGCTAATCACTACTGAAAGTATAAGTAAAATTTACTGCAGGGTACAGTCAGTTCAGCACATATCCTATTTGACATGATGGAAATGTGTGGAAAATGATTGAGGAAAAGAAAAAATGATTACTATAGGCCCCTTAAGTAAGTCTTTTCAGAAGACATTATGGAGGTCAAAATCATCCCATTTAACCCACAAAAGCAGAGAGTCTATGTTGTAGGTAGAATTCTAAGATGGACTCTAAGTTTCCCAGCCTATGATGTATAGAATATATGTTTTCCTCTCCCCTTGTACTTGGGCAGACCTATGAATATGATGCAATAATCACTCACTTGATTAGACTAGATGATAAATGTGAAAGAATTTTGAAGATATAATTAAGGTCCCAAATCAGTTGACTTTGAGATAATCAAAACAGAATGAAGGTAGAAGATAACAATGGTAAGAGCAGAAATAAATGAAATAGAAATTTATTTTTTTTAAGATTTTATTTATTTATTTGATTGAAAGAGACAGCCTGTGAGCATGAGCAGGGGATGAGGGGCAGAGGGAGAGGGAAAAGCAGGCTCCCCGTGGAGCAGGGAGGCCAGTGTGTGGGACTCAGTCCCAGGAACTTGGGATCATGACCCAAGCCAAAAGCAGATGCTTAACAGACTGAGCCACCCAGGTGCCCCAATGAAATAGAAGTTTAAAAGACCGTAGAAAAGATGGGTGAAAGTAAGAGTGGTTTTTCTTTAAAGATAAACAAAATTGACAAATCTTTAGATTAAACTCACAAGAAAAGAGAAGAGATGACTCAAATAAAATCACAAATGAAAGGGGGAAACATTACAACTGATAACACAGAAATATTAAAGGTCATAAGAAACTATTATGAACAATCATATGCCGACAAATTAGGTAACCTAGAGAAAAAATAGATAAATTCCTAGAAATATACAACCTACCAAGATTGAATTAAAAAGAAATAGAAAATCTGAACATACCAATCACTAGTAAGGAGTTTGAATCAGTAATCATAGTCTCCCAAGAAAGAAAAATGCAGGACCAGATGGCTTCACTGGTGAATTCTGCCAGACATATAAATAAAAATTAATGCCAAACCTTCTCAAATATTCCAAAAAAATTGAGGATGAGGGAGCACTTCCAAACTCATTTTATAAGGCCAGCATTACCCTGATACCAAAACCAGACAAAGACACTAAGAGAAAGAAAATTATAGGCCAATATACCTGCTGAACACAGATGAGAAAATCTTCATCAAAATATTAGCAACCACGTTGAGATACCACCTTACACCAGTTAGAATGGCAAAGATTAACAAGACAGGAAACAACAAGTGTTGGAGAGGATGTTGAGAAAGGGGAAACCTCTTACACTGTTGGTGGGAATGCAAGTTGGTGTAGCTACTTTGGAAAACAGTGTGGAGATTCCTCAGAAAATTAAAAATAGAGCTACCCTATGACCTAGCAATTGCACTACAGGGTATTTACCCCAAAGACACAGATGTAGTAAAAAGATGGGCCATATGCACCCCAATGTTCATAGCAGCAACGTCCACAATAGTCAAACTGTGGAAAGAGCCAAGATGCCCTTCAGCAGATGAATGGATAAAGAAGATGTGGTCCATATAGACAATGGGATGTTACTCAGCCATCAGAAAGGATGAATACCAACTTTTGTATCAACATGGACAGAACTGGAGGAGATTATGCTGAGTGAAATAAGACAAGCAGAGAAAGTCAATTATCATATGGTTTCACTTACTTGTGGAACATAAGGAATAACATGGAAGACATTAGGAAAAGTGAATTGGGGGAAATTGGAGGAGGAGATGAACCATAAGAGACTGTGGACTCTGAGAAACAAACTAAAGGTTTAGAAGGGAGGAGGGTGCAGGGATGGGTGAGCCTGGTGGTGGGTATTAAGGAGGACCCATTGCATGGAGAACTGGGTGTTGGTATATAAATAATGAATCTTGGAACACTGAAAGAATAAAATAAAATTTAAAAAATATATTAGCAAACCAAATTCTACATTACATCAAAAGGATCATACACTGTGTGACCAAATGG